CAGTATTTCCATTATGTACATGAATTGCACCTATCACTGTCTTCAAACAAAGTATTTTCTAAAGTAGCACCATGAATAGCGCATACGGCATAACATAAAAAATACACAAACAACTTCAATGAAAACTCAAGTTCTTGTATTTATAGCCTTTGTTCCAAGAGTTTAAACAAATGTTTTCATTAAGTGTATATGTGATGAAATTACCATGAAGTATGAAACCAAATTTGCCAATCGACATCAGAAGCAACTATCTTTTGCTTGACTAGCTAGTTGTAAACATAGATAGACCAGATGTTTTCATTCAATGTATATACGATGAAATTACAGCGAGAAATTACCATGAAGTATGAAACCAAATTTGCCAATCGACATCAGAAGCAACTATCTTTTGCTTGACTAGCTAGTTGTAAACATAGATATACCAAATGTTTTCACTCAGTGTATATATGATGAAATTACAGCAAAAAATTACCATAAAGTATAAAACCAAATTTGCCAATCGACATCAGAAGCAACGACCTTTTGCTTGACTAGCTAGTTGTAAACATAGATGGACCATTATTTATCACAAGGACAAATCCAAAGAAGAAGATGGTCCTTTTTGCTGTGCAGAACATTACTGTCTTGTAGTTAGAGAGATTTGAGACATCATCATCTGTTTCGTGTTAGTCCTTATTCGCATAAGAAAGGATCTGGTACCAATTGGGGTACATGTTTATGTTTACAACCTTATCGTAGAGCGTTGTCGACACAATGAAATATACTTTCGATCTACTGAGTGTTATAGGCATAGTGAGATATATCTCCTATCAAACAACAGATTGTTTCTGGGAAGTAGGAAATTCATTACATAAAATAAAATATAGGCCAATAAAATGAGGGATATAGACAATGAGATATAAGAAATGTCAATGAGACTCTTAAAAGTGAGATTCTTTATAAACTCTCTGTTATCTTATGTTTTTTTATAAAATATTTTATAATATTAGCACATGAGTTGATGTTAAACCATAAAATAACAAAAAAATTCATAAAGAATAACACTTTGAAATAATCTTGTTGATATTTCTCATGAAATATATCTTCTACTGAACGACAGATTCTATCTAGGAAGTAGGAACTAGACATATTGTTGTTTATCAAATTCCTAGCTAAGACCCTTTTCCCTATGAGTAGACCCTAGATTCCCTCCCAACACTAAATTATAAATTGGACAATCCAATACATGCTTTTTAGTTACCAGGAGGATCCTCTTTGTCCAAAAAAAAAAAATTGTTACCAGGAGGATCTTCGTTGGATTCTCTTTGTGAGGATTAAGAAGATCATCTAATCACATTCGTTTATCGTACATCGTGCGGTCAGAAATCATTATAAATTTTTTTATTTAAAATTGAATATAAACGGTACCTGACAAAAACTAACCACACGATATATAATGAATGAATATGATTAGAAGATCCTCACAAAAAGAATTCGGCGAGGATACTCTCTCTTTAGTTAAGGGATGCCCTCTTATATTATTGCAATGCCACAAAAGCAAATCTTAGATGCTAATAAGATAACTTACTTAAAATCAAGTTTTAATCTCCCCTTTGGACATCATTGGCTCTCACTAAAGTTAGCAAAGGTATTTTCATTCGGGGAGAATAAAGGAAAGCAGAAAACTTCACATAATATATCATCTATGAACTTTCATTCCAAGATATGTAAGAAAAAAGCATTGGATTAAAGATGTTAGCCACGTAAAGAAAAAGAAATGTTGTCCAAAGGTGGAAGATTCACCCACCATTTTGTAAAGGCATATGATTTGTTTCATCAAATATGAAATATTTAGAAACCAATAGCTTATCAAAAAACTCTTTTCAGTTAGATGTATTTAATCTTCCACCATTTTTGTAAAGGCATATGATTTGTTTCATCAAATATGATATATTTAGAAACCAATAGCTTATCAAAAAACTCTTTTCAGTTAGATGTATTTATGTTATCAGACTATTCATTATGCGGATTTTGAACTCCTTTTTAGTTAGGTTAATCGTTATAAATCAGAATGTCAATCCTGTGAGCTGATTTTTAGACCCTAAGGTGTAAAGGGTGAATGATATATGAAAATCTTTTTTAGTTTTGCAAGAACAATGGAACTAGTCATATCAGGTTTGTTTTTGGTAGTTTAGTCTACCAAGTAGTCCTAATTTTTAAACAATCTTCCCAGTTTGATTATTATTTTTAGAATCAATTTTAGAGTCAATCTTCATCATTCTATTTTTAAAGTACTTAGTAAGAGCTTGTGTGGCATTACAAAAATTTTAGGAGAGGGGGACATTGAACTGTGAAAATACTAAAATTTACTTCAAGTAAAAGCTTGTGTGGCATTACTCATTTCCTCTTTGTCTTTGATGCGTCGGTTTGTAAGGTGCTTTCTGATTAGGGTTTTGACAATTGAAAAGCACAGCAAAGTTCGTTACTTTTTAGGGTTTTATACCACCAGCATCTTAGGGCAACTGTTAGGATATGGTACTTAGCCACTGAGAATCGAAAAAAGCTTACATGAATATGTGGTTTTATACCATCAGTCTTTGAGACATTGTTTAGCTATTTTTGGTTATTATCTCTGTAACTACGTGATTCGAAATAACTAATATTCTTCTTTTGAATCAATTCACTAAGTGTGCACTATCCTTAACCAAAAGTTTTAATGTTGGTTAGAGGTGAAAAAGAAAGAAGGGCTTTAGGCGAAATTCGATATGAGAGTTAGGGAATATAAATGTTGGATTAGGCATTGAATGGAGTTTTAGAGTTTAGATAAATGGGTATCGTATTTTTGTGCTGGTGTATCAAACTCACATGAAATATGTGTACATTTAACGAGAGATTCTGCCTTATTATTGGGGATAAGGATATATCTCCAAAATTGTCAAAAAAATTTCCTATCTCATCCATTACTCTCTCTATCTCACTTAGCACTCATCCAGTCTCTCACTCTCACTCATCGCTCACATAATGAATGAGATAGTAGCATAAATGTACACTATAGCCGTGATAGCTAAGCTTTCTCAGTGTACTAATTAGTGTGCACTATCCTTAACCAAAGGTGTTATAATGATGATTAGGGGCTAAAAAGAGGGTCAAGATAAGTAATCAAAATGTTGGATTAAGGCAGTGGGTGGATGGAGGTAGGGTTGGAAATGGAGAGAATCTCTGTTGTTTGTTTATGAGCCGGACAAGGATAAGGACTTGGTGATAGAGGGAGTAGGATTTTCTCCCCTCTTTTTTTTCCTCCTTTTCCCTCTTCTTCTATTTGAAAGGTTATGGTTAAGTGACACGTTAACATCTTATATTAATTTTTTATGAAAAATAAAATAAAATAAAAAATGTAAGATAAAAGAAGATAAAAAGAGAAGATGCGAGAATCCTAACCCGCGACAGAGGGCCTTTCATATGCACAATCATCAAGGGGTGATTGAAGCCCACAAGCGGTAGAAAGACTAAAAGAGACAGCAAGTGGGCCAAACCCTAAAAATTTCTTTTTTCTCTCCTTCTTGCATATCTTAAATAATGGTGTTTCTATGAAGAGATCTTGATTTGACCACACACATAGTTGAAAGCCAGAGAAAGACTTATATTTAACAAGTTTATTAGTGGAGATGCAGATGGTGAGGAGAAAAAGCAAGAGTGAGAAAGTGGTAATGATGCAGGTGACTGAAACTGGTGGAGTTTGGTGGATTGAGAAAATTGTCCAGATGCAAATGTGATGGAGAGAGAAGAGAAAGAGTGATCTCAGCCGCACGATTTTACGTAAACGGTTGAGATTATTTGATCCTAAGAATCTGTATAAAAAGTGTCCGAAGATCCTAGTCCGCTAAATTGTAGTCTACCTCAACAACAGAACTGGATCCTCTCCTGAGCTCAGGATGTGGATTCTCATGAGCAGCCTATCCGGGCTGTTCAAACTTGACCTAACGGCTGCAATTATTATAAATTTTAGATGAGCTTCTTGTTTGGATCCGTTAGATCAAATTTCAACGGTTCGGATAAGCTACTTAAGAGGATCCCCATTCTGAGTTCAGGAGAGGATCCAGTTCCCTCAACAACCTAGTGCCTTCAATTATGTGATTTGTTGCTCATTTAGTATAATGGTGATGGAAAATCCGTAGCATAGCCAATTATTAATTCAAGTGGACCTTGTTGAAAGGCCAATAAGAACCATTGATTGGAATCAAGATAGGCAATCCAACGGCTGGGATGGGAATTCATATGGTATTGTCAAAAACCAAAAAAAAATTGGGACAGATGAATCTGGTGTAAATATGGGAATTGTTATTAGTACTCCAAACTTTTTATAATTAGAAAAAAAAACACACTTATGAGGAATGTAGAATAAAAATTTTGAAGTGCTAATAACAGTTCCTGTAAATATTTAGGTTGTTAGTGTTTCTTGTGGCCAGTCATTTTCTGTCCTTATTACAATTCATGGATTTTGCTACAGAGCAAAATCTAATAGTACCAAGTGGCTAGGCAAGTGTCTCTATGTATTAAAGGCTAAACTGTCTCCCTGTGTGGCAAACTACACACATGTGCACATAAGCAACTCTACTTCCATCTCATTGATAAAGACAACCATGTTTATCGGTACGCTGACCTAAGACAGAATCCGTCTTACGACTAGTTGTATGTTTTTTTTTTTTTGGTCCATCTCCTTTATCACGTGAAGTCAAGTGATTAGTCGGAAAATCGCACACGTATACAAGCAACTCTATTTTTTATGTCATTGTTAGAGACACGAGAAGGTTTACAAGTATGGTGATCCGAAGTAGATAATTTATTTTGTAACCAGTTGTATATTTTTTTCAATCGAAGTGTTTCATCATGTGATGAGAAGAGGTACAGTGAGTCCCACCATCCTACACTTTAGCCAACTTATTTAACTGTTTTTTTTTTTTTTTTACATGACACACGGAGAGATAACTATTGATTCGTATGCATTGGTAAGAGACCAAAGAGACAAACACAAAGAAAGAATTAATAAAATAATACAAGGAAAGAAACAAGTCTTTTTTTCACACGACAGACGAGAAGAGACAAACGATAGGATCGTAAGAATTGGGCCCCTAACTTTACAGAGGATTAATGGAAGAATACAAGGAAGAAAAAAACTCCATCATCGAAGAAATGGCTTTGGAAGGTAAACTCTTGTATGGGATTGAAGAACGCAGTGTCATGGGCGGTGAGTGCAGGAAAGGAACGGATGGAAGGACTCCAATCCGGAAAGAGCCGGGTTTATCGGATCCTGTCCATTGAGCAATCCAAAACGGACACTTGGTAGGGATGAGAGGTGGCATCCAAAGCTTTCTTTGTTTTTGTGCTTCTCTCGAACGCTTTGAAATATTCAATACCATCACCCATGTTGTTTTCGAGGAGAACAATATTACGATGCGGTTCACCTCTTGTTTTTCCCGTATATTCATCCTTGATTTGTATAATCCGAATACAGGCTGAAAGAGAAAATCAAGTGTGAAAATCGCCTCCCGACAAATACTACAATCTCACAATCAAAGAGAAAGGAATGGAAAACTGAAAGTGACTTGTTTAATTCATGCAATACTGTACTTTAAAGAAAGAGAAGCAAAGATGTTCAACATGAAAAAGAAAATTAATTAATATTTCATAGAAATAATTGATCAAAAATAATAAAAATCCTACTAATAATTCTTCTGAACACCAACAAGTTGGTAATGTTGGAGAAGCCTATTGGCTTCCCTAAGGCCACTACAGTAAGCTCCATGGGTTGTGGAATAATGGGTTCTGTGTGTAGCTTCCCCTGCAAACAGAATCTGCAGTGGAGGTGAAGAACTAGCAGCACTACCAGAATCATCAGATGGCAATGGCTCTGCCATGCTGTCCAAATCCTCACCGCTTGATCCAACCGCAACATACGAGTATGATCCCAGAAACAGTGGATCACTACCCCATTGACTCTTCAAAACCTTGGAAAATTTCACTTCAGAGTTCTCCTCCGGATTCCCATTCCCATTGCACAATTCATGGGAATGTGAGTTTTGTGATAGGAAGCTGGACACCGTTTGTGAAACCCCGTTGATAATCTCTTCATCTGAAAGTGCTTCTAGCGCACGTGCTTCTTCCCCTGCAAACCAAGAAAGCAGAACGCTGGAATCGTGGTAGAGAGGGCAGAGAGAAGCTGTCTTCCTCATCCACCATGGGATCTTTTATTCCTGAGCTCTGAGTCTGCTCTGTGGAAAACCATTTGTAAAAATGGAAACTTGCTGAAATCTTGGGACTTCGGAGGAGCATGAATAGAACCCAGTTGCAGAAACAGCTTGTTAACAACCCCAAATCCAAGCCTCGAAATCGCCTCGGTTTTGAAACGAGGCAGAGGTGGATTGAACATACCAGAATCTTGGCGAATCGAAGCCTTGAGCACCCCCAAAGAAACTGTAACAATAACATGATCAGCTAACAAAACTGACCCATCAGAAAAATGGAGCTTCACAGGCCTTGTGTCGGATTCATAGCCCTTGTTCTTGCGATTATCCGGCTGCCATTGAATTTTTCTGACCTTCTTGCCCAATTGGATCAACCCAGGTGGGAGTACAGAGGCTAGAGATTGAACAATGCTCAAGTACCCTTTAGCAATGGTGATTTCTTCGCCGGGAAACATCCGGTACTCGCTTTCTGCATTGTAATCGAGAGTTAACAAATCACCGGCTGATGTATAAGTCCTTTGGATGTTCTCATGCATTGCAAAGATGGCCTCTTGCAGCAACATTCGGCTCCAATTTGTATAGACACTGACCTGCTCATCTCGGTTTTTCTTCGAAACCCAATACGTATCAAGGCCTTGCCTTAAGAAAGAGCCGACACTGAGCTTCCCAACATCGTCATTGCTTGCACAAATCCTGGAAGCTTCATCTCCAAGCTTACTGTATTCAAAATCACCATTGCACTCTCTCTCTGGACTTTCATCAAACACCTGCTTCCCCTGAGCATAATCCATCAAGTTCTTGAACAGAGACGAAATGGGGTCCACCACATCCGGTTCCAGCTCCAACCCACCTTCCGCGACGGTGGTGGGCTCGTCGGAGGACCCGTCCATGCACTCCCACGGATGCGCTGACTCGAGGGCATTGATTTCCTGAGCAATTTTATGAACCGGGCTGCCTCCAATGCCGTGGATCCAGGTAGCTCCCATCTCAATCCGATCGCCGCCGAACTCCGACGTGTTGATTCTGCCGCCAATTCTCTCCCCGCCTTCCACAACCACGAGCTCGAACAAGTCCTTGGACCCTGCAGCAGTGTACAGCTTGTTCGCCGCCGTGACGCCGGCCATTCCCGCTCCAATTATCACAATCCGTGATTTCTTGGCCACCATTTTTGTTTCAGCTGGAACCAAATTAATGGTCTTTTGGAATTTCTCAGAGGATGATGGAAAGTGAGAAAAGAAAGAAGTGTGAGGAGTGTGAGGTGAGAGATTGAGTTTACTGATGAGGATTTTATAAGTGAAGGTAGAGATTTTTCAGTGCGACTGTCACACGAGGTGGTACACTATGTATCATTATATAAATGGTGGGTTATGTGTGTTAAAAGTTTAATAATTTAAAAATTAAAATTTTTCATCACTTACATAAAAACACGTGATATATCATCTGTATTCTCGTCACAACTAAAAATTTCTCATATAGGAAGAGAAAGATGAGAGAAGACTCTGTTTTTCTTATAAAACTTTACATCTTTTTCTCAATTTTTTTTTTTCAGAAAATAACCACTTAATAAACAGATTTCGGTCAAGTGGCGTTCCGATCGAATACTGTAATTACCGTTTGCATGACATAATATTATTAGACTAAAATAGTATGATAACAATAAATTTAATTATTTATAAAATTATGATTCTACGTTGACGATAAACTCATGACATGTAACTTCGTTTTCCTAATAAACACATGGCTCCACTTATTTTTTTATTTTATTTTATTTTATTTTGAGGTCTACCGGTAGAAGAAATATGGCCGATACCTAAAAGACAATTTCTGTATGAAATCTTTGTCCAGTAGTCCTATAATCCCCCTCAATGCTACTGCCATTTATGTCCAAAGTATCAATTATTATCTATCTTCTGCAACTCTCATTTGATTTTGGATTTACCCGCTTGGACATAAAAGACCTGATATCTCTCAGGCAAAAGTTACCAGAGGCAAAGGGGAAAGGTGACATTTGTGATATGGGATTTGCCATTAACATCTGAAACTTTAAGAGGTTTGATAGGGCCTTTCACCAACCTTCACATGTACATTGGGTGAGGGATAGCCTACCAACTGAGCATTTCAATGGTCCCGATCAATTTGACGGTTTTGATCGTTTTAATGAGTTATTTTTGCTTACGTATCAAAGTTTAAATTATTTTCAACAACGAATGACTCGTTAGTTGTAAAATGCTTGGTATTTTCGTTTGATTTTTTAGTTCAGTTGAACTATTCTTCCTTTAGAGTTTACTAGGTTCATAATATGATACAATGTTCATATTACGTACTAAACTTTTCAATTATAAATAAACAATATTAAAAAAAATGGGCGAGTCAATAATTAAACACTCGAATACATAGATAAGTATTCTTAACCAACTATCGCTTTGATTTTAGTTGTTGAACATGAGGTTAGTAGAGGAGCCAGTTTGGAGCAATAGCTGCTCATGACCCTAACAACTTCCTAACCTCATGTATATTTGTTGGTAAATTTATCTTTGACTCCAACTAAAGAGAGTGAACAATGTTGAATTACAACCTATTGTTGCTTCTTTCTTCTCCAATTTCTTTCTTTCTTTCCCGTGTCTTTCTTCTCTTTTTTCTTGTATGCAACCCAATGGTTCGCACCACGTTGTAGGCGAGTCTTAGTAGTCTGTAATCATGAGCACACCTTGGCAGATGCAGATGCTAGAAGAACACAACAGTTATCGATAAATATCATCATCACAAGTTTTCAGCGAATGTAGTAGATTTTGATAGGTGCCCAACAAATGCTTGATGGAATGGTGCAATGAATTTTTTTAGTTGAAATCATGACCTTATTGTTGTAAAATCATGACTTCGCCACTACATGAGGTGCATGACGAGTTTGTGATTGTATAAACCCTTTTCTTTATTGATGGATCTATTGTGAAAAACCCTAAACCATAGTCTATTTTGGTAAACGTGTGATTTGAATGGTATGAGACTAAGATATTTTTGCTCAACACTCTCAAGCAGTGATAATGCTCACCAACTTACTTATTATCATTGGATGATTTTAAATTTTAAAATTTGTGTCTATGTACTATACAAATATCGAAAATTAAACTTATCTAACAATAATAAATAGGCTTATTATACAAATAGTCTCTGAGATTTGCATGATCAATAGAAATAGTCCCTAAGCTTGAAAATCAATAGAAATGGCCCCTGAGATTGTCCACCATCCATGATTTTGATCCTTCCATTAAAAACTCTTTGGGCAATTTTCAAAGCATTGTAACTCAATCGTTTCTTAACCAAATTCGACCCATAATATATCAAAATGAAGATAGGAAAGTGTAGAATAAGATTATACCTATTTGGAAGCCCAATGGTTGCCAGAGATGGCCGGAAAATAGCCTGAAAGGTGACTGGTTCGTGGGAAAACTGGAAAACTCTTCGGAAACTGGGTAAATTTTAAATGTTTATAACTTCTTCAATACTTAACGAAATCGAGTGATTCAAAAATAAAAATCATACTTCCTGATAAGAAGAAGATAATGGTACCTTTCTTGAGGGCTAACTCGCTGTAGTTTGATCGGACAACGGCTCGAAAGTGGCTAACCATTTTCGAGTTAGCCACTTTCGAGCGGTTTTCCGGCCAAACCACGGTGATTTATCAGTCAATAAAGATACCATTCTCTTCGTCTCATCGAGAAGTGTGATTTTTGTTTTTGAATCACTCGATTTCGTTGAGTATTGAAGAAGTTATGAACATTTAAAGTTTACTCATTTTCCGGCGAGTTTTCCAGTTTTCCTGCGGACCAGTCACCTTTCAGGCTATTTTCCGGCCATCTCCGGCAATCATTGGGCTTCCAAATAGGTATAATCTTATTCTACACTTTCGTATCTTCATTTTGATATATTATGGGTCAAATTTTGTTAAGAATCGATTGAGTTACGAAGTTTTGAAAATTGCCCAAAACGTTTTTAATGGAATGACCCAAAATCATAGATGGTGGATGTTTATACCATATTTAAGGCCTCGTATTTAGACCTCGTATAAATACTCGGGGGACTTAAATGTAATGTAATAAAGGAAGGGGCAAATATGTAATAAGTGAGAAGTCCTTATTCTATAAAAGGACTCCTCACCCTCACAATTAAAGGAGGCCAACCTTTAGGCCTGAAACCCTCTCACGTCCCCTCTCATATTACAGAGGCTCTCTCCCTCACTTCTCAGAGAAATACAATACAATCAGTGTGGACGTAGCCCAAACCTTGGGGTGAACCACGATACATCTTGTGTTATTTACATTACTTGCAGATTCACGGTTGAATTTACGTTGTTCCAAGACCTCCAGTTTTGTGCATCAACATTTGGCGCCGTCTGTGGGAATCGACACAAAAACTATGTCGGTTCTCTTTCATTTTTTCACCTCCACCGTGAATCTACAAAACCCAAGAAACCAAACACCTACGAATGGACTGTTTTTTGTTGTCTCCTATGCAGTGAGCTCTGATCTCCGGGGAGCAAAAGCAAAACGCTCTTTCTCCTTCCCTCTCTCTCTCTTCCATCTGAAATCTTGTCATCTACCTCCAAGTTGTCTATTTTTAGTCTAAATTAAAATCCAGAAAAAACCACGGCCGCCCCATTTGTTTTCCAGCTGAAAACACTCAAACACTCAAAAGCCCACGGAAACCCGTCTGAATTTTCAGTCTGATATATCGAAGTTCTTCGTTTGGGCTGACTTAAATCTCTGAATTAGAAACTGGGTCCTGTTCAAATTCCCAAATAATCAATCCAAAGGGCAAGCAGCATAGGTCGCAGAGGCAGCAGCAAAACATGGTAGATCAACTCATCCGCGTCGATCACTTGTCCAGCTTCAAAGCCACGTTCAGGTAGACCTACACGACTCAGGTGGAGCACGACTACAGGTTCGACGTCTTCAAGGCCAACCTCTGCAAAGCTAAGCGGCACCAGTGCTCGACCCCTCTGCAGTCCACGGCATCACCAAGAAACCTAACAGAGACATCCTCGAGCACGATCGAAAGCGCCAGATTGAACTCAAGCTCATCGTCCTAGAAGATAAGCTTATCGATCAGGGTTTCACCAATGAGATCATCGAGAAGCTCGATGAGGGTGACGGACCCGATGCCGTTGTGGTTTCCGATAAGAAGGTTTCAGATACATCATGAATGTTTGTTTCTATTACCACGATACATCATGAGGCCCAATAGTCCCCAAATGTTCTCAACAGAGAAGACGGCGTTTTCCTCAACTCTCCTATCCTCGAACCTCGAAACGTGGTGTTTTTGGGGCAGGATAGAGTGTCAAATCCTGTGGAATGTCAATCGAGAAGAAGATTGAGCTTCTTGAGAGCTTGGCTGGAATGATGCTGATGGAGATACCAAGAAAAGCAAAAGATGAGATCACCGTCCGCTGCCAATGATGAAAGTAAAGATACAAATAAGTTATCCTACAACAATACCATTATTATTCCTCTTTGGCGTTGTCTGCCATCTGCCAAAAGAGAAAAGAGAAAAAACAGGAGTGGGAGAAACAAAACAAAAGCAAAGCAGAAACGAAAGCAAAAGCAAAGCAGAAACGAAAACAAAGCAAAAGCAACGCACCAACGATCTGCAACTGTCAAAACTTTTGTATCGAAACCTTTGTTTTGAATGATGTAATTTATTTTTCTTATCTTTCGGAGACATCTGTATAAACCCCATCAGAGGGTAGTAAAAAAAACGACAAAGCCCAAAATAAATAGGCTGGAATGTTGTGTGGAGAGCGAAGGCCCATAAGCCCAAAATAGCACCAACCAGGTGACCAAAAGTACGCCCAGTACTACAAAAAATTATTCGGTACCCCGATGCTATTATCGCCAACCAGGTGATCAAAAGTACGCCCAGTACTCCAAAATTATTCAGCAACCCGTCGCTATTACCACCAACCAAGTGATCAAAAGTACGTCCAGTACTCCAAAATTATTCGGCAACCTACTGCTATTACCACCAACTAGGTGATCAAAAGTACGCCCAATACTCCAAAATTATTCGGCAACCAGCCGCTATTACCACCAACCAGGTGATGAAATGTACAGCCCGTACTCTAATATCATTTGGGAACTAGCCATTCATGCCACCAACCAGGTGATGAAATGTACAACCCATACTCTAATATTATTTGGCAACTAGTTATTTATGCCACCAACCAGGTGATGAAATGTACAACCCGTACTCTCATTCATGTCACCAACCAAGTGATCAAAAGTACG